TTTATTACACACTGATAAGGACCCCCATTTGTCCTTCTGCAGTCTGAACAACCCCRACTCTCTCAGCTTTGTTATGACAGAGGCTCCAGTCCCTTGACTGACTTTGTGGCCCTCTGCTGAACTCAGTCCAGTAGGTCCATTTCCCCATGGTACAGAGGACACTAGGACTGGACCCAGCACTGCAGGAATGGCTCATCCATGTTGGGCAGAGGGGAAGGATGACTTCCCTCCACCTGCCTGCAGCCCCATGCCTATTAAAGCCTGGGATACTGCTGGTTTTTCCTGCAAGGGCACACGGCTGGATCACGGTCAGCTTGTCGTGCATCAGAATGGCAGTTTCCTATCTGCAGAACTACTCTCCAACCTATCCTGCTGCATGGAGTTATTGCTCTTCAGGGGCAAGAATTTGTTCTTCCTTTGCTGAACTTCACAAGAGCCCTGTCTGCCCATTGTGCCAGCCAGTCACAGTACTTCTGAATGACAACACAACTAACTGGTGCTTCGGTCACCCCTCCCAGTCCTGAGTTATCTTCAAACATATAGCAATATGAATTTACACAGATCCTTGTCTTGGAGATGGGCAGAGGAACCTCATGAGGTTCAACAAGGGTCATGAGGTTCAGGGTCCTGACCATGAGGAGGCACCAGAACAGGCTGGGGGGAAACGTCTGCCGAGCAGCTCTGCAAAGAAGGGCCTGGGAATCCTGGATGACACCAGGTTAAGCAGTGCCCTCGTGGCCAAGAAGGCCAATGGGCTCCTGGCTGCATCAGGAGGATGTTGGCAGCAGSGGCAGGGAGGGGATCCTGCCCCTCTGCTCCGCTCTGGGGAGGCCAAACCTGGAGCATTGGGGACAGTTCTGGGCTCCCCAGGACAAGAGGGACATGGAGCTTCTAGAGTCCAGTGGAGACCCTCAACAAAGTTGAATAAGAGGCTGCCAAGTGTGAATGTGATTAATTTATGAGCCTGAAATTCCCAGTGTAACATGGATAGCTGCAAGAAGCCTTCTGCCATTTCTGGCCTGATGATGATCATGGAATCACAGAATGGTTAATATTGGAAGGGACTTCTAGAGGTCATCTAGTCCAACCCCCTGCTCCAGCAGGGACACCCAGAGCACGGGACACAGGGCAGCATCCAGGAGGAATAACCCCAGGCCCCAGCACAGATTAGGGGCTGACCTGCTGGAGAGCAGCTCCGCAGAGAGGGACCTGGGGGTCCTGGTGGACACCAAGTTACCCGTGAGGCAGCAGTGCCCTCGCTGTCTGGAGCACTTCTCATATATCGAGAGGCTATTGAAAGAATGGAGCCAGACTCGTCTCAGTGATGCCCAGTGACAGGACAAGAGGCAGCAGGCACAAACTAAAATAATCTGAATCTGAGGAAGAGCTTTTCTATGACACTGACAGAACAGCTCTCCATTGAAACAGGTTGTAGAGTGTCCTCTGAAAAGTGTTAAAAGGAATAAAAGAGTATTTGGGGCAGAAATGCCTTCCTTTTAAATGCTTTCTCCACTTTTTAGTTTTTTTTTTTTTTTTTTTAAGAACAGAGGTTTCTTAAAAATTTGTAGACTTGGCAGCAGTGCTGACATAGTTATTAATACATCATTAATCTTCACTTTTTGGTAGAAACATTTAGAAATTTTCATAAGCTCCTGCAATTTCAAATAGAATGAAAGCTCTGTTGCACAGTAAAATACAGCTAGTCAATGACAGTTTGGAAGTACTGTGAGAAATAGATAGGCTACTATAGACTCAGTTTACTCCCATGTATGTCTTTAGCATGCCATGTGAACAGGATGTGAAATAAGATAATGTTGCTTGCTGTATGCTTACATTAAAATGTTCTCAGAATACTAGAAAAGTTCTATACTTTCCAAGAAAAAAAGAGCATTAGTCTTGTTATGTCAGTTTGTTTCATTGAGCTGCTAACTATATTAAAATTATGGTTCACCTTAATGTCTTTGGGGGGAAAAACGATCTCAAACTGAAGAAAAATATAAATTTCTGATACAAATATTAGTATTTATTCAGATAGCTTACATTCATAATGAAAATATTGCACAAAGATTTAATCCATATTCTCAGATAATTTTAAGTGYGAACCATCTGAGACTGCTTTATAGCCAGTATTTTATATCCAATATCTCCAAAATCTGAAAGTCCTGTTTTGAACATCAAATTGAAGGTTTTCAGTCATTTTCCAGAAAATATTTATGATAAACTTTCTGTATGATCACTATTTGTGATTGAACTTGTCCCATGCATAAAGGTAGCAGTACAACAGATTCAAGATTAGAACTAAGCATTTAATTTTTAATTAAGACTTTTTCCTGGTGCAGTCCTTGCCCCAATTTTATAACTATTTGAACTGGTCCATTGGACGTTCTTTGCAAATGGGCTCGCTGGTAAAAAGTAATTGTTGAAATTTACTTTATGATGCATATTCAGACAACAGCATCTGATACCATTTTCCATCCTTTCTAATCTTTGCTGCAAACAATAGTAGTTATCTGAAGAAGATTATCCTTTTATTTTGGAAAAAGAAGTATTGGAGTCTGTGCCCTCCGAACAATAGGTGGATATTTGCCTTGTTATTTTCCACACCATTTTCTGACATCTCATTCTAACCTGTAGCTGTGCCTAGKGCTGAGGTCCTGAGCTGTTTCTGCATTCTCTAGGGCAAGAATACAAACCTAAATGAGGAGAAGAGACGGAGAAGAGGGAAAAGGAATTGTCTCAAAACTCTTGAAAATAAATAATAAAATTAGCTACATTAAAGTAGCAATTGCCATGATATTACTGTGCTAGGCTGCTTTACTGAGGGTAGCTAAGCATTCACGTTTTTTTAAGATGAGGCTAATTTTGCAACCACAACATGGAGGAAATTATATGCCACCCACTTTTCAAGAACATAATCTGAGATTTTTACTCATGAAACTTGATCAACTTCTCAGTTCCTTCCAAGTTATTAATTTTATTTGTTCACTTCAACAAGCTCTTCAGGTTTCACATACTTAGTTAAAAAAAAAGTGTGCTTTTGTACACTATAATCTTTTTATTGGCTGTGACCGCATCAAAGCATACTCTTATTGCTGCCACAACTTTTTCAATGATTCAAGTCAGAAAAGTAGACTTTGGAGAAACTTGATATTCCCCACACTCAAATGTTCCCGTAACTGTACTCTGCGCATATTTTTCTGTTTTATAATCTTTACTATGGAGTTAGCTTCTTTCTTCCCAGGTTTTCATGCAGAATTAATTTCCTAATCTACATTATCCAGAGGAATTATTTCATTAATCTTCTACCATTAAACTAAAAGCTCCGTTTACTGTTGAAAACATCTACTGATTTTGATTTAGGAAAACTTCAGATTTAGAAATGCTAAATGACATAGCTAATTATAAATGAGCAGAAATGTACTTTAAAATCTACTGTGAATGTTAAGATAGAAGTTGACTCTAACTTGGATGTGCCTTCAGTATTTAATGACTTTAATCTACCTCCAGTATATCAATTACTATGATTTTCGTAGCTATTAATGATTTATGTTACTAGCTACTCTACAGTAGTGTCAGCATATCACATTATAATGTTCTTGTAACAARTTCTATGAGATCAGTATTTTTTTATGCACTGTGACCATTGTGATCACAATAAAATATTACACTTCAACCTRGATTGCCGTCTTAAGAGCTGTTCATATGACATACAGTTTACTCCTTGCAACCTGGATTCATCTGCTCTTTACCAATAACATCTCTGCTGCAGTTTTATGACATCTGGCGCCAATGCAGTTTTTAAAGGACATATAAAAAAGAAAAAGGCTCTGTCATACATTTTTCATCGTGTTTTTCCTGTGCTGAAATGACAGCCCTCTGTCATTTGAAATGTAGAAACATGCCTACATTTTTCTAACTGCATGGATGATAGCCAAAGATAGAGATTTCAGTGTTTCCCATTACTTTCTAAGTTGTAAGTGTATCTCTTAACAGAATTATCCTATGCTTCCACAGACCCCAGTGAGGACTTAAGGAACCAAGRCAGACATTTTCTAAACTAAATGTAGGTAGTATATAAAACTTTTTTGATATAATGTACAAATGCTAGGTAAAAGCTCTATTCAGATTTGCTAAATCTTGATTGCAAAACTCTCTGATGAAAAGTGTAATTTTTTTTTAGAGAGGTTTCATCATTATCAGGTTACAAAAACATCTTTCACACCTTTAAGTATCATATTCCAGGTTCACTGGTTAAAAGAGGTTTAATGTGTATAAAAGGAGAGGTGAGTGAAGGGACAAGAAGATAGATAGGTRGAAAGATAAAGCGCAGTGAACTTGCCAAATGTGAAGGAAAAAAAATGATCCTTGTATGATAAAGATGTCATTTGTCATTTGGGCCTTAGGGGCGAAGAGATGCAGCACATCTGTTTTAATCAAGTTGGCTCACCTAACAGAGGCAGTCCAGCTCTGCACTTGGAGCACAGTGTAGGCTCAAGGCCCATTCAGATGATGAGTAAATTTTTAGGCATTTAACCTGTTAACTGCTTAATAGCTAACTGCTTAATAGAGATTTGAGTTCTCTGCAACTGAAGCTACACTTTGTGTTTTAATCTGTTGTATTCCCATAAAGCCATCATATACCCATTAAATATCCATGGAAGAAAGAATAAAAGCAGGCCTTATTTAAGAAATGATTGTGGAATATTTTTAATAATACCTCTTCAGCTTTTTGATGTCATAAAATATCCTGATATTCATGCAGCACCACAGGCACCACATAGAAATACTGGCTAAAAATAGGCATAAAATTCCAGGGAAGACAGCTTCTTTGGCAACTTGGAGAAATAACAGTTTAAAAGTTTGTTTTAAATATTTCCAACATGCATTGAATTCCCTCACCAGCTAGAACCACAAGTATATTGATACTGATGAATTTTCACTTGGTAAAAAGACTAGGTCCATGTCAGGCTTTTCTTCTGCTCAGAGGTTTGGCTTCCTGCCACGTCTTCAGGCAATAAATTGGTTGTAACAGAGCTGCTTTGAACACTGTGCTGAGTAGAAGTATTCCAACCAAGACAATAACAACCACCATAAGGTAAGCAAGAGGGGAAAATTCAAGATTTTATCSTACACTTATTTGGAATATGACAAATAATGATTTTTCAGTTGATTTTAAAGTTTTCTTTTGAAGTTTCTCTCTTAATCTGAACTTTTGTCTAGTTTACAGTCTGTAGATTTCTTAAAGGCTACATGATCTGAATAAAACCTCACTCATTTATTAAAGATAGAATAATGGTATTGCCTTCAATTTTCTGTTAAATTGTAACTGATAATCTTTGACTAATAAGATTGTTGGTTTCTTTCCAAAAAAAAAAAAAAAGAAAAAAAAGAAAAAGAAAAAGAAAAAGATCTCTTGAGATAGTCTTTGAAGTACTATGTCATAAATGTGCCAGTGTAGTGTCAGATAATTTTTGGATCATGCTACTTTTAGAACAAACTCCAAAGGATTTAAATCCTGTTGCCAGGTATTGAATTTAATTTGCTTTTTGGTTTTATAATCACATGTGTGAGGATTAGTGGATGAAAGAATGATGTCTGAGAATAAAAGAGGGCAAGAAAGGTTGTTTAACAGGTTTTCTGTGCTGCCTTCATAGAAATGCATCAATATAGTTTATGTAGCAGGAAAATTCTTCAAATTCCCTACGCTTTCCTAGACAACCTCTTGCTGTTAGCCAGAAATGGGCTCGATTATATCTGAGTTTGGCATTTAAAGAGTCAAAGCTGAGCTTGTCTACTTCCCTGGTACTTACCTCAGATGTGAAAAATACAAAAAAGAAATGAAACAAAGCAGACAGGTCTCCAAAGCAAATAGTGGTGGTACTAGGTTTCTGTACAAGAACTGTTTGCAGATCTTCCCAAGCCCCCTCAAATGGTATATATCTAATTCAAGAGCAGAAGAAACTGAAGAAATGAGCTGGAAAAAAGAATAAGGAAATAGATGTAAGGCATCAAGTAAAAGTGAAAATAAAACTGCAAGAGTAGGTGATATCTATCATAGTGTGAAAGTAAGGGGTTATTAGGAGAGAGACATTTACATTTCCTTCAGAGTTAAGGGATGTATAAGGAAGTTACCACAATGAAGCTTGACAATGCATCTTTGACATTTATTCTAGAGAGTTTGTATTTATTTTATAGACCTGAGGTGCAATCTTACTGTAAACACACTTGCATTTCCTCCACTTTAAACTTGTGTGCTTGTTCAAATAACTCTTAATTCAAAGCAATCAAAATTAAGTACAATACTTTAGAATTTCAAGAGTTGTTTCCTGTCTTTCTCAATAGCAAGTTTTTCAAGCATTTGTCCAGTCCAAATAATATGCATGAGAAAATTATTTTGAACAGCCCTGCCCTCTTGAGGAATTCTTCAGACTCTTAGCTTACAAGCTTAGCTTGTAATAGTTTTCCTTCTTTTCTTACAGAGGTGTAAGAAATGGTCTTTCCTTACCTTCTTACAGAGGTGGGAGAGTATAAATAATGCAAGACTAAATCTGGGTGATTTGTATTACATTGGCTCTTTATAAAATCAAATTTTATTTCATTAAGTATTTAAGACTAATGTCAACTTAAGCTGGCATTAATAACTGCCGTAAATGAAGGCCAGACCCAGGGACGCTTCCCTGACTGCCTCYCTAGGTGTAAAAGTCTAAAATGTTGATCTTCAGGATCAACACTTTGTTCAAGTGCCGTCAAGCTGGAATTGCACTTAAATTTTCACCAGATGTGTTCTACGAGGGAACACGTGAAATGGGCAAACAAGGGGCTTACTGCCTRTTTTCTGGGCATCTCTAGGTTTAACTAAATCTTGATGCTTTGTTAACATTGTACACCACTATTTTGCAAGGTCTACAGGCCTGTACTATTTGCCCATCCCTTCTAGGCTGTGCATTTTCAGAAGGCAGCTCCTAGACAGGACCTGAGAAAAACCCACTTCTTTTGCTTAGCCGTCAGTGGAAAAGTAGCCTCAGCAGGACGAGAGATCACCTTTTCCCTTCTCACTACAAGGTATTTAATATTTGAAAAATGAAACACGACAAATATATCAATTATTTTTAACAAAGATGTTTCAGTTTTAAATGGCATAAATGAGTATTYAGTTATATGAACAGAACTAAAGTCAGTGAAAAAGAACATTAGTTAGACTTTCAATTCAGTAAGAGGAAAATTGACAGGGAAAGAAGTCTTTCATCTCTGTCATTTCATGTAACTATTTAATGTGAAATCTGAGTGAAAATTCTGAAAACAAGACTAGAAGACAGCCCTAAAAGTAATTCACACATTATTGTAATAGAGTCAGATTTCTGTGACCTAAAATGGCATGAAATTATTCTGTGTAAAGCTGGATGAGGATAAAGCTATACTTTCTTTGCTTAGTTCATTCACCAGGGATGTAATTAAACAGCTGGATTCGTGAGAGCTTTTAGAATGCAGAATTACAATCTCTCTTTCTTGAACTCTGAGGTAAGGTACTTAGCTTATTTGAAAAGGAAATTTAAGCTCTATCTTCAAGACATCTTCCTAGGATATCTCATTCTCCAGTGAGGCTGACCCTCATTCTGTTTAAGTGTGCAATTACACTTAGAGTGAGTCTATACCAATTTCTTGAAATGTTATTAATCAAAACTATACACTTTTAAAATGTGCTTCTGATAAGAAATATTAAATATTGTGATAAATTCTAACTTATATTTTAGGAYTGAAAAGCAGAGACTACTCAGGTTACTGGAATTGCACAATGCTGCTCCGTTCAGGCCACCGAAAGCCCTGCAAACCACCTATCCGTGGAAAGCAATTTTTTAAAAAGAAATCTCTGCTGAAAAGGAGCAAGACAGTTTCAGAAAAGTCAGGTAAACTTTTCTTTCCTGTGAATGTATGCCTTTAATCTGGGAAAGGCAACAAAAAAAGGCAGAATTAAAGCCTGCCAACTGTTTTATTTGTGGAAGTATAGCCCCAATTATTTTACTATCCTATAACCATTTTCAGAGTTTTTTGTGTATTAATTACGCTGCTTCTTATTCTACTGTGCTCTGTCTGTTTTCCTCTTCTGTGAATTTGACAGGTGAGGCTGCCAAGCCTCTGAAGGGAGGGTTTTGCCTGTGCACGGATGAGTCATGTCACACCTGCTGGTGCTGGGGTTATGACTTAGCTCCTCGGGGTGTGCATAGTCAGTCTGTCTTGTTCCCTTTATTTACCGAGTTTCTGATCAGCTTAAACAGAGTCCTTTCTGAGAAGAATGCCTCTCAGAAACAAATTTGTTTTCAAAATGCCTGCTAAGACACAGATGTTTCAAAAGACCTACACCAGTGYAATGAGAATGAAGTTTTCAGTGAGGCCGTGCATTCCCAGAAGGTTATGTCACTCTTAGTAGCTGCTGGGTGTGCTGTTGTTTTGCTTAGCAATTTTTTTCTGGCCAAGATCAGTTTGTCCCTTGCTCATTCTGAAGACTAGTATTGTCTCAGCAGTCTCCAAGATTTGTACTGAATTTGCGAGTAGAAATCTAGACCAGGAAGAAAAGGCTTGCTCTAACATACTGTGCCTTGCAGTGTTATTCAGTAGAGTTTTAATACCCAAGTGGCTGAACTATGTGCTTTCAACATCCAGAACTGCAGAGTAATGAGAGAGTTCAATAGTGATGGTGAACAAACAGACATATAAGCAAACCAGAAGTTTAAAAGTTGCCTAAGGCAAATGCTTTCTCTCTTAGGCTTTTTAAACATTTATTGATTAATTATACCTCTGCAGTATACATTTTCACTCATGTTAATACTGGAATCACTGTTTCAAAGTCTGTGGATAGCCGTGGTTGCTCTAGCATGTTCTGTACACACTGCTCTGACAGGCTTACACTGATTTATTGATAGCTCATAGCTGAAAGAAATCACCACTGTAATCTCTGGCCATGTCCTGTTCTGTGCTTGAGCTGCTTTTTATGCTCAGTCCCCAGACTCCTRGTCTAACATTTCTGATAGCTGAATTTCCCTTCTAACATTTTTTACTTAAGAATATCTCTTTCTTGACTCTAAGAGAGAACTGTTATCCAAAAAAAATGCTATTTCAAATAACTATTGCAGCCTGAAATTATTCTGTGCAAGCAGATTTGATTTTTCAATGACAAAATCAGGAAACAGGCAAGCACTTATTTATTATGAAATAGGAAATCAGTCTGGGAACAGCCGTGCTGCAGAGTACTGAAAGAGGTACTTTCTGTACTTTGCTTTTTGTATCTTTCAGAATGAAAACTTAGAACTTGGCCTGCTCTGTCCTTCTCTGTCCTGTCCAGCTGCTGGACCCTGCACAAAACTGCCCTGGCTCTGTCTCCCCACAGCACTGCGGTTCCTGCCCTAAGACTGTCCATTCACCAGCCAATCGATAACTCAGGCCCTCCCTCTCCTGCTCACATTCCCTCTAGCCCCATCCATCTCTTCCAACACAGCTCTCTACTAGTTGGCTCTAGTCCCTTTTCCTCAGGCTTAACCACTCTTCTTGAGCTGGGAGCCACTTTTTCAAGCCTGAGGTTTCACACATGTTAATTCTTCACAAGGCTCGTCACACATTTCCTTTTTTCCCTGAGAGAGTTTTCCAAACATAGGTGCTCTGTCAACCTTCTTGAAGAACCAGCAACCCCTGCAAAAGACCTGCTTAAGCCCGCCCAATTGTTGTTGTTTTTTGTTGCTCTACTGCTCTGAAGTATATTTAATTTTTGTGAAATATACAGAGATTATCAAAGGTCGCTATAAAAATACATTTTTATGGAATTGTGCTGTGTTTCTGTTTATAYTAGAACTAATTAAGACTCGTTTATGATTAGGATTTAGTCTACGAAAAACAGTAAAATGTTACATACTGACAGAAGATTCAAGAACTGTGCACTTTGATTTAGATGAACATGGTCACCATGAAATATGCACCAAGGATTCACAATCCCACGAAGGTACAGTGTGCTTTTTATACCAAAACTCATGAGCTGTGTGTATAGTACCATAGGGCTTTGTTGAATGTACCATTATGCTTTCCATTCTGTCAGGCAGTAAAGGTAATATTTGACTGCCTCTTTATGAAGTACTCATGGTGATAAGAGATAACTTATTTCCAGGTTCAACAGGTACATAACACTTAAATGAAGTCAATTTACTTGTTTGCTGTTCTCTGAGTTAAGGGTATAATCTCCATGTTTGCCTTTTAAGAGGTGAAAAGCAAAGGTAATCCTCAGGGACAAGGGCAAGATGAAGAAGAAATCAAGAAACTATTGTAATTTGAGGGATTCATATATATTTCATGGAACTCTTCTATTGCCTCAATGAGAGCTCCTCTAATTCACATGAAAAATGATACCAAAACTAACAGCACAGTAGCAGTTGTCAAAGAGTATGTTTTTGGAAGGGAAGACTCAAATAAGAATGAATGCATATATTGGAGAATTAGCCAGTTTACAATGATATATAAGTAGGGAGAAAAAGCAAAAGTTATAACCAATATATATATMTGAAAGTTTACATCTCTAAGATAGCTACTTACTTGTTGAGATGTTATTTTCTTATAGAAATTCATCTTTTACAGTAATGCTGTATTCTTCTTTATATATTCCTCAGATAAATGCACAGAAAGACTTGTTTGATGTATTTAAAAACTAAATTATGGAATTTGATACTATTAAACTGTGAGCAATGACAACTACAGTGACCAGCAATGTATTTAAGCATGCTTTCTATCTTCCACAGAATCTCTTATATATGGGATAACTTCTAGAGTTATATATGGSACAGTTCTAGAATAACTGTCAATTGGTATTGCAGATCTTTGGACAGCAATAAAAATGGTACTTGAAAATAACTATATAAGAGTAGCCTGTGAATGGATTTTTAGGGTTACCATCCAGGTGTGGAAGATACCTATGTACCTGAATAAAAAAAAATCTGGTAAATTATGTGATGTCCATATATATGTGGAMAATCACACACAAGCTTGCTTATTCATTGTAATATATTTATTACAAATTTGAGAATACATATGTACAAGTTTAGCTGTACTCTGGTCAGGACTTTATGAATTCTGATACCTGCAAGAATCAAAGTTGATAATTATTACTATTACACAGTTTCTCAGATGACGCCTTAAAATAATTCTTTAAATGTTTCTGATGCTTTTGAGTTGAAGAATAATTGTCCAATTCCTAACCTTTATTGAATATGTTTTATTTTAGATATTGCATGGTTAAGTGTGTTCACAAGTAATGAATCAACCGTCTGTGGTAAGACTCAAGTGACTCAAGCTGAAACAAAATTATTGCAGCAAAGTAAGGAATCTCTGTGATTTTATACATAATRCTTCAACTTTTCGAGGGCCATATAGAAAGTTAGACTCTTTCAAATTTGCTCTGACTAAACAATGTATAAGCAACTTGCAATAAACTTTAAAAACAGAGAAAGCTGAGAATAGTGAATTTAATGCATATTAATGTCATTGGTTGACTTTCTGGATTTTCACATCGCTCTTTTTTTGCCATTCTTACACATAAATCAGATACACTTATGACATTCATGTGAAATATCTCCTGCCTTCTGAGGTGCCACTTACACACTTCACCTGAAATTGAACAATTGCAGTTGAGACAATCTAAACTAAAGGCACAAAAGTATCAAAATTTGCAGAATTTTAGTCTCTGCCTCCTATTACATTTATCTGATTTATTTGCATATAAACATGCAGGGYAAGTAAAGTAGCCTGGAGTGCGTCTCAAATTCTCACAAGGATTTCTTGAGCCATTTCATGCAGTAGATGACTCAGTCAAAACTCCTTGCAGAGGTTTTAGCAAAAGCATTATGGTTAGGATAAGTTAGGTAACCAAGATCAGGGCTAGGATTAGAACAACTAAGTTCAGCCAGATTAAATGAATATGTGCTGCTGAATCATCATACCTTTCAAAGGATAAGAAATACATTCAATAACAAGAAAAAAAACTCTTTAATTGCAAGAGCATGTTATGTTAATACACACTTATAGACAGTGGGGTTTTTTTGTTTTGATATTTCAAAATATTTCAGCCCACCTGAAATATTTTTAGAAGTGCAAGTGATATTACTCAAAGTAAATCTGAAAGCCAGTGAGACAGCTATACCATCACTGGATAGTTATTAATGTCATTGACTTTGTCAGGTATCAGCAGTCCTTAAGCAGTTCTTGTATACCATATCAGTTGACAAAGGGAATCTTAATTTACTCTTTGTTTTTGCTTTTAATCTAAGATTGGGATTTGGACTTTAGTTACCATTTGACAACGAACATGGTCAACCTTTCAGATTGAGTGTTACTTGCACTGTATTATTGACCCACTTATTTCCCGGTGCTAAGAAAATGTTATCTCCAAAAGGAGTAAATCCAATCATCTTACAACTCTGATATTGAAAACACTTTTAACTTAAAAAACAGGCAAGAAAAAATAGGAAAAAAGTCCTACATTTTCCTTAGTTATATGTATATTACATGATCATATGCATTACATGGTTTTGTAGTATAAATAATAGCATTTCATATGCATATTTTAATTTACCTATATATGTATATATGCTAAATTTAAGGCTTTATAAAGGAATAGATTATTCAATGCTTTACAGAAGAGGATKGTATAAACAGTGCTTATATTTATTTCTCTTCCTGTGCCTATCAATATATATTGAACTTGAATGTTGTCTATTTACAAAATATTTCTTATGCTTAAGTTTAAAAAGTTTTAAGCGTTTTATTACAAAATTCTCCTCTTGATAAAATAGGTGCTAAAAATCTGGTGATCCTCACACAGAGATCAAAGCTCAATGAATTTGTCCTGTTGTGCAAGGGTGAAGAGCAGCTCTCTCTAAAGGTAAGGAGTGTTACTTTTCTTTATAGCTTATAGATAATCTTTCTCACTATAGAACATCTTCCTTACAGTCCTTCCTCAAATTCATTTTCTTTTCTTACTGCCTTCTACATTTCAAAGCTTCTGACTATCTCCTGTATGCTCTCTGGAAATTTTTGGAATGCGTCATTGCAAGAAACATCAGCTGCGTAGGTAACTACTGGCAGAAGGCAAGCTGGGTTTCAACTTCCATGCAAAGAGAGAGGTTTCCTCCTGAGAAAATATGCAGGAAATAAAGGGAGTGGGAAGCAGGTATGCTGCCTAGGGAGACAGATGAGATTAAGAAGGAATTATTTTCTAATAATAAACGTGGATTACAAGATGCTGAAAAGAGTATCTAAAATGAAAAGGAATTACAGCTGCAACTAGTAACTGGCTTTAAACTATTGCTCTCTGCTGTAGGAACATTTTAATTTTTGTCACTCTTGTCAATATTTATTTATGGTAAAATAATAGGCAAGGTTAAGTTTGCCTAACACAGGTTAAAATCTTTACTGACAGCTGCCTCAGGAAATTTATCCTCTAAAACTGGCCAAAGGTCTAAAAAGTTCTGTTTACACAACCTGTATGAGATAAAGAATGACGGCTAATCTAACCTTGGCTATGTATGATGAAGTAAATTCTCAAATGCTTTGTCAAGTCTATCTTCAAAGTTTTCCATTTATTTTTCATTTGTAGATGAATTTACATCAAATTCATTTCCTGATATTGTCTGGGGAAATGTGTGCTATAAGATACATAAATTATTATTAAAACGTATTATTCCACTGTTATTTTCCTTTCTCTCCTTGCAAGAGCAACAACTATTTATGCAGGATTTAGCTGACTCAGAGAATATTTTTTCATAAATGAATTCTCTGATAGGTATACTGCAGCATTAGAGAAAGAATTGTGTTGAACTCTAGTGGATTTTACTTTTCAATTACCTACCTTTAAGTATTAGATTGCACTAGGTAATGCCCCTTGCCATGATTAAAAATAGCTCTTATTTGAAAAGTAAGATATGGCAACTTCAAACTATATAAATCACTGAAAAGTTCAGGAACCTTCTTTTTTCTACAGTCAAATATGGATGATTTTCTTAATTTCAACAAGAATTTGCATATGGAAGAAGACAAAACTTGTTTAGAAAAAGCCCTGTTTAAAATACAGCCAGGGTCGCTGTATTATAACATAGTTCTGCCATGTCCACAATGCATGATAAAATGTGGGCTTTAAACAGTTTCAGGACTGTCTTTGCTCTTTGTTCATTTTGCATTGCAAAAGGCAAGATAGGAATGTTCTCTCGGAATTGTTATAGAAATKTAACCATCTAATCATTGGATATGAGCTCAATTATTTATGAGTTTTATAAAAATTAGATTTTTCTTTAGAGTTAATAATACATGATGTGGTTTAAAACAGACCAAAATATAAAGACAAAATTACTAATCTGAGTGGTTATAAATGCAGGTCCTAAAAGCACGCTGTTCACGACCAGATTATTCAAAAGTGAAAAGATGCACCTTGAAAACATGCAAGCATGATGATCCCGACTTCGAGCAGGTATGTAATCATAATCAGGCAAATAAAACTTTGTGTGTATGGGCAAATGTACATGCAGGCACATGTGTAAAAATAGGTGGAGCTTAATGGAATCCTATTTATTACTCAATAAATAATTTCTCATATTTTGCTCTGGGAAAAGAAAAAGAATGGACAACTTGTTCTTACTTTTGCCTTGATTTCTGTATGCAAAAACCTCTTTTGGTCTCCAAGCAAAATATCAAAGCTTCAATTAAAACTCAAAGGACCAAATGATTTTTTTGCACAATATTGTGCTTGTATAAAATCAGGGAGATATGTAGAACATAGGTATATCAGTAACTCTTAAAAGGTTAATTTAAAAGAGTGTTAGCATTTTTATGAATCGTTAAGTCCATCAAAGATCAGAGTTTCTGGAATGTAATAAAAATACAAGAAAAGAAAGTGCTAAATGTTTGCTATAAATAAGAAAATAAAAATAAGGAGTCCCTGAAGAACTTTCAGAATGAATTCTATACTAGCAAAATACTGTAAAYCAAGAATAATGTACTAGAATGAATTCTGTACCAGCAGTGGATTGTAAATCAAAAATAATGCACTATGAAAGCAGAAAGCTAATTGTTTTCTTAAGACATTTTTTGTGATGGAAACTTGATTGTGTTGGCTGCTCTTTAGATAGAAATAATAAAACATTGTGAGTATGCAAGAAAAAGAATTTAGTTGTATTACATTTTATTTTAAACCAGATATTTTAACTAAGATGTGCCTGATAATCGTTTTCGTAGGGTCAAGTTGACTTATTAGTGAGGGGAATTAAAAAGCCAATCATTCCAATTTCTGTAAGCAAAAGTTTTCTGGGATCAGATGCAGAACTTCATAAAGTTAAAATTGTAGTGGGAAAAGCTGAAAGTTGGCTGAAGTTCACAACCTAACTTGTAACATTTGTCCTATATAAAAAAAAAAAAAAAAAAGAGGAAATTTGATAAAGTTTGCTCGAAGTTTCCTGCCTGAATTTAGGAGCTTTTTTTTTTTTTTTTTTTTTTTTTAATAATAAATGTGAAAAAATGTTTATCAGGACAGAAAAATACCAATGGGTCTTTCAGCTCAAGATCTTGCCACAAAAATCCCTAGCTCTATATAGGAGGTGAAAGAATAAGGTTTAGAAAATATATTGGACAATCTTTAGTCTTCTCTTTAAAGGATATATGCTACGACAATCACACTACATTCTTAAAAATGTTCTTAAAGATGTATTCCGTATTTTTTTCAAGAAAAGTTATGCCATTTTCTATAGCACTTTTCACAGGAAAAAAAAAAAAAAGTAAGCTCCAAGTCTTGGGGAATTGCAAGASMGAATACTTGCCTGGAGAGACCTATTCATCATTTGGGTTTCTAAATGGAARAATAAAATGAGGAATTCAGGAATAATCCTTTACAGGAAGAATTAAGCCTCCATTGTTCAAAGGATAAAAAAATGCAGAAGCAGTTGAGTAAGGTGGGGATATACTTCTCATGACTGAGTGAAAAACTATGTGGTACAACAATGTGATAATACATAATCTGCTAACCTTTAACAAAAGATTTTAAAGACAGGCATTTTTCTTTTTATTGAAAGACTGTTAGTATTATGAGAAATATCAGACATCTCTGAGACCTGCAATTATCCTGTCAGGAAGTTACAGGTAACATTTTAAATTTCCGCTTGCCTAATAAAATTGGAAAGAGAAAAAGTTAATAACCAATCTTTATCAATCGATAAACATCCTTTATTAATTAAGTTGTTATTACAATAAGATTTATAACAACATTTTTTTAATGTTGTTAAAAGCTTCTTATGATAGTAGTTGTGTAGAGACAGGGGCAGAGATTACAACCACTATTTATTAAGATACAACATTTTTAAAAGCTGAATTGCTATTCTCAGAGCTACTCCCAGTCATCCCTCAGTCTCTCACTCTCTGTTACTCAGCCATAGTAGCACTGGGGAGACTAGTKTTCATGTCAGGTAGTAGGGTCTCTTTCAGGACAAGTATGAGTACTTCTACAACTTAATCACTCAGTGGTGAAGCATAAGCACATACTTGTGCTATATAAGGTCGTATCTGAAAAAAAAAAACCCCACATCTATTTTAGTCCAGTTTCTTTCAGCATTTCCTCTTGTTAATGGCTTGCTCTGACCCAAAAGTCTGAGTTAGACTACTCCAACCTTAAATCCTCCCTATATTTTTGCTAGCTGTTTCATCATATGACAATTTATTCAGAAGCCAGATTCAAGGTTACAGCTGTATAATATCAGGGCTGAGCCCTGGATCCCTGGCACCCAGGCAGCAAAACAGATAGGAAGCAGTGACAGTGTGGAGGAAGAAATAGCAGTGGGGAGTATTACACATTTACATTTTACTATTCACATTTATTATGTACAAATCATTACCACTTGGGTGAATTGGTTACCAGACACATCTTCTCCGGTACTTATCCTACTGTCACCTTTTAATGCTACTTCTCTTCTATTTCAGTCATAATGTTTTACTCTGTATGCTACCTCCCTCCAAACTCTCACATACATATCCTTAATCTCCAGTTCTCAATTTTTATTTACTTCAATTCTGATAGATCTCAGTATGCCTTAAGTTTCAAATCTCCTTTGCTCTTCCCTTTCTTGACTGACACCYTCTCTAAAAGACTTCTTGGTTTACACACTTAAGTAAGTGTGTAAAAGTGTGTAAAAAGAAAAGCCAATTCTGCCACCAGGCTTTGTGCTACCCACCTCTGCCTTCCACCCTCCCCTCTACCCTAGTCCCTGCCTTCCACCCTAGTCCCTGCCTTGCACCCTCTTCTCTACCTACCCTCTCATGCACCTCTACTCGACACTCCCCTCCACCTTCTGCTCTGCTCTACCCTCTATACCAGCATACACTGTCCTCTCCTCCACTGGAACTCCAGCCCCTACCCAGACCTCTAGCACAGTCATTAGGAGCACCTCCTCCTGTCTTTCCCATTACAACACCCACCTCCACATCACACCCATTATGTGTAATACTATGTTGTTATCTTTCTTTGGAGCTATTCTAGACTCACCTGGATGCCATCCTGTGCCACATGTGCCAGGTGCCCCTGCTTGAGCAGAGGGGTTGATGCTGCCTAGAGGTCCCCTCCAAACTCAACCATTCTGTGATTCTGTGCCCATCCTCTGTCTAGGTAGATTGAAATCGTGAAGCTGCAACTCTCACAGTTCATTAACAGCTGCAACAGTTTTTATTTAAGGGTATTGTTAGTCTCACTAAGCAATTACACCAAGTGAGGCAGCTAAGCTATCCAGCCATAAGAAAGCTTATTATAGAAGCTCTTTTAAGCAGAACAAAATAAAGGAGAAAAAAGCTCCAAATAGCCAAAATCTAATGAGAAACTTATGGAATTACCTTAGTGACGAACTTTTGGCCTTGGTGGTAGTAGTAATGCCACACTTCCTGCGTAACAAGCCACTTTCCCCCTTCTGCTGGCACTCTGTAAGTTAGTGATTATTACTCACAGGTCCAGGAATGATTGCACACAAGTGGCACAAGGCTCCTAATCGGGATTGAGATGAAAACATCTTTGAGATGTTTCTAACAGAAGCTTGAGACTGGTAGCCTGTAGTTCGTCCTAGCATGGTGGAGCCACTGCTTGATTTGCTCAGTATTAGCACAGTTTATAGAAACATCAAAACTATGAACATAGAGCCAAGATAAAACACCAGCAACTGGAGGTAACCTCCCTGAGTCCACCTGAATGAGCCACCCTCACTGGTCCACGGAGCTCACGGCCAGCAGCCCCTACCAAAGAGAGCTCTCCAAATGGGTTATGTATTTTATCTTCTTGGTCTCATCTCACTTTGCATTGCTGCATTATAACTGTGACAACTATCACTAGTCAGTAACACTGCAATGAGACCTGTTGCCATATAAAACTCTTGGGCAAGCAAAGGATAAAGCACAAAACAATAACACTAGCGTATAAATATATAAAGAGATCTAATACACAGATYCAAATTAAAATAATACAGAAGCAACATCCTTTTTCCTTTAGGGGGACATTTTTTTCTCACTTCTTTTATTTTTTCTTATACTACATCTTCCACCTGGGCACTGGTTTCTTCTTTGGCCTATTGTAATAGTTTTACTACTTTTATCCACTGATCTGCTTCAGGTTTTGAGCAGAGGACTAGCAAGGCATTGACCACATACACAGATAATTATTTACAGCTGTAAATGAATTAAACCCCCTAGTATCTATGGTAATTCTTCAGCTCATGGTTTTGAATATTTTTCTACAACATGGTTTAGACYATTTTTAATAGTTATGTTCTTCCTATCGCTCTGAAGGATTACATAGATATTGAGGGTATATGCAGTCATTGTTTTAACCGTATATAATTTATTAAGGCCAGAGTTATTTTACAAAAGCCCCTCTTTTATCAGACCCTGTCAGTTTTCCATATCTACAGATATTTCCTGGCACATCARTTCTACTTTTATCATGGCTCTGCTATTTTTTGTGAGAAAAGCTCCAGTACAGCCTGAAAAGACACCTCTGGTGACAAAGAAATATGAATATGCTTCTTTATTTCATGGCATTTGATCTGTATAATTGTCTGACATGTTGGCCAATGTCCACAGCTTCTCTGATACAATTCAGGAGGTGGTTTAGTTTCACTAGTTTGCTTTTGCATTACTGAATGCCTCATTTAGTTCATAACTTTATGTTCATGTGGGGACAAATAGGTTCACGAACTCCTTTGTTTAACTTACCATAATAGAGTAAAATGATTCATTCTTTTCTCAGCTGGCCCTGATACCATTTCTAATCTTTCAGCTATCTCCTGCAGCAGTTGAACTTAATGTTGCCTTAGTTGCACCTTATTCATAAAGACTTTAGTCTGCAGCTCTGACCACTAGCATGTCATTTGTGCAAGAGTTAACAGCAAAGATAACAGTGAGAGCATTTTTCTAACATGAGCAAGTTTGTTGAGAAATTCTTATGGGAAGTGAGTAAAAACATATCACTTGTTACTAAGCAAATTGGCTAATTATTTCTTCATTTAAGGCTATATTTTTCTCCATCATGTCATGTAGATCCAGCAGCTATTTTAACTGTTCCATCTAGACCTACTTTTACAAGCAGCTGATTTCAAGCTCACATTTACCTGGTCCCCCTGGAGTCTCTCTGACCCTAGGGAACCAACTCCAAACCAATTCCTCTCCTTGCTTCTGCATTATTTTTCTGAATTAATCTGGTTCTCTTAATCCATTTCTRTCTTCTCATTACTTTATTGGGTCCCTAGAAGATATTCCTTTCCTAAGGATATTCCTGTCCTAAAGACAAATTAGAACCAACTTGAAAGTAARATTAGAGTACTATGAAGGATCTCTCATAGAAGAAAAGCAAGAAATAATTTTGTTAGGATATTATTCMCTCACCCTCTCAATCTTCTCCAGGAAATGCAGTAAATTCCTTGCACCCTGGTAGCTACTCTGAAATTAATAATAAAGGCTTAATTAATATGGTTGAAATCCATGTCTGATCCCCATGCCAGAAGGGCCCTCATGTTGTCCTGTGCTCCTGGTCACTGCTGAGCAGCCACAGCCTCCTAGATACATGGCTCATTTCACAGCCCTGTGCAGGCACTGGCAGGTCCTGGATGCTTTGGACAGGGGTTGAGGGGACACCTTGGTATCCTCAGCATCTTGGTTCTTGTCCCAATTCCAACCTGAGCAATCATGGAATCACAGAATAGTCCAAGTTGGAAGGGACCTCTAGAGGTCATCTCATCCCTGTCAAGCAGGATGTCTAGAGCACATTACACAGGGCGGCATCCAGGAGGGTTTGGAAGATCTCCAGAGAAGGAGACTCCACAGYCTCCCTGGGCAGCCTGTGCCAGGGCTCTGKCACCCTCACAGGAAAGAAGTTCYTCSTCACATGGAGATGGAACYKCCTGTGTTTCAACTTGTACCCATTGCCCCTTGTCCTGTCACTGGCCACCACTGAGGAGAGCGTGGCTGCATCCCCTTTACATCCTCGCTTCAGATACTTGTACATGTTAATCAGATCCCCACTCAATCTCCYCCAGAGACAACAGGCCCAGCTCMYKYAGTCTYTCCYSATAMRAGAGATGCTCCAGTCCCTTAATCATCTTKGTTGCYCTCYRCTGGACYCTCTCTAGAAGCTCCACGTCCCTCYTGTCCTGGGGAGCCCAGAGCTGCCCCCAGTGCTCCAGGTTTGGCCTCCCCAGAGCTGAGCAGAGGGGCAGGATCCCCTCCCTGCCCCTGCTGSCAACATCYTCCTCATGCAGCCAGGAGCCCACACTGAGCGGTGCCCATGAGCCCTACAGAGCTCACAGAGCTCACTCACGGATGTGGCTGTTACAACAATAGCCAATCATCAAAGGATGATTCCTAGGAAAAGTATTGGAAACTTGAGATATCCAGAAAACATATGTAATAGAGCAGCTGTTTAAGACTAAATGACASTATAACATGCTAATTTTACTATAAAATTGGACAAGGGTGGTACTTTAGCTTATCAGGAACTATGGTTTGACATTATTTGCCTGGCTGGAAATACTTAATAAGAATAAAACAAGATAAAAATAGAATCGATCCAAGGAGAGGTGTACTGCAAAGGAAAACTGCTGGTGTTTTTGAGGCAGCAGAGCAATACAGCTATGTGTTTGGAGATACCCACTATTTTGAGGGAGATGTGTATTTTTTTCATTTACAATCACCATGGAATTTGCAAGATAGGTACTCCCAAAGATTTATCATATAAATAYGGTGAATATACAACACTGGAGGAAACCGTTCGGAATATAACAAGCTTGCAATATCTCTGAAATGCCGTCATATATGAATTCCYATAAAATACTTTAAAAAATAACATGTTCTTTGTTTGGCATATTTCACAGTTGAGTGAAGACAATCTCTTCTTCATCATGCATTGTCAAGGAGAATCGGTGAAGTTCCAGTGCTATGACGACAAAAGTTACTATCTGCATGTCAATGAGGACTCACTTGACATACGCAAGCCAGAAGAGGCAGAACCTGATGGAGATAAAAATTTTTACTTCAAAGTGTCGTATTTGTAGGAAAAGTGATTTGTCTACTTTTTAGTGGCCTAAATGTCTATACAGTGTCCATAACAAGTCAGTAGAAAAGAAGGATTGAGATCATGTAGAATTAATCTCTATTTCGCCTTTTTATTGACTTTTTTGTACTATCTTGAGTCTCAGTTTTCCATTTTACGTATAATATCCTTTAGTTCTCTTTTATACAACAAGTGGAGAAAATGGCCAAGTTCAGTAAGCAAAGTCTATTCGCATCTTTTCTGCACAATGACTGTTTCAAATAGGTAAATTCTATCTGAAGAGGAAAAATGCACAAAAACAGAGATACAAAAGGTATGAAATGCAAAGTACAATTAGTTTCCAATGTTGTAAACATCTTCCTCTTAAATGACTCTTAAGAGATCATCTGAGCTGAGGAAGAAAATGTTAAGGTGTCCTTAAATGCATATATGCATGTACACACACTTTAGGAAAGGAGTGAAGAGGGAGTCTCAGATCTGCAAGAAAAAAGAACAGAGCTGCTAGATAAACAGAAGAGCTCTTCTACCTCGTCTGCAGTCCATGTAAGAAAACATATTCCATTTTGCAATTTCTGCATCTATCCAGAACCCTATATATAGCCTGAGACTCTCCATGTGTTATGCCAAAGGAAGTAGGCAAACAGGACTGACTGTACTTAACAGTCAGTTAAGTACAGCTTCTGAACATTGGCAGCAAAATTACTCCAATTGACCTATTGGCTTCCATCTCTGAATCCTAAAGGGAAATACTCTGAAGTGTTTTCCTGCAGAGGAGAGTGCAGCTCAATACCTGAACAGTGATTAAATGTTCAAAAGAACTGAAAACTCAAAATAAAACCCATCTGCTAATCCCATGTACAACAGAGGTGCAGTAAGAGTAGCTGCCTTTTAGCAACAGGGTCTGACAATGTAACATGAAAAATGCTGACCTTGCGTTATGCTCTATAGATGCTGATCCCCGTCCCTGCATTATACCCTACCGTGTACAAACAAGTGATCACCATGTGTGGAAGATGGGATCCCCCGCTCCCTCGGAGTGAAGTTTCCCTCTGTGATTTGCTGGCATTTYCCCCTGGTGCAATGCATTCAGGTGCATATGTAGATAGGAGTGCCAGGCATCGTGCACGGAGGTGAAGCAGTTGAGGCATAGCTGCAGCGGAGGAGTGACCTGTGAGATACACAACGCGTGCAGGAATGGCTCTGTGCAAATACAATAGGCAAAGCCTATTCCTTAACCAGGAATCTCAGTCACACCAATGCACATAGCAGTAAGGGTAGAGTCCAGAGTAGACAAAACCTCAAACGTCTGTGTGTCCTTAAGAGAAATACTGTTCTCTTTTTTCCCAAGAAACATGCAGAGTTTCACTGCTAGAATCTCTGTTGTGTTCTCCAGACAGTGAAAATCATTTTGTTTATTTCAATGCTGGGTGAACAGTAGAAAGCTTTTAATTTTTTCATTTAAATCACACTCATGGCTTCTGGATCTGTGAACTGGTTGCTGAAGTCAGTGAAAAAAAACGTGTCTAGTGACTGCAGCAAGTATTCCGCTAGAACTACATATTTAGTTGCACATGGAATAAGTTCAATTGTGTCTTGGGGAAACATTAATTAATACACTAATATGCTATAATCATACATATTTGGGGTAATGTGACCACCTAATTAAAGTACAGAACATGCCCTCTAGGATATAGGTTGATAAAACCACTACAACACATATAAAGCTCATAAAAGCATGTTAAAGTCAGAAAAATTTCTCTTTGACCACTGTGAATTTTAAAACTATCCTACAGTTAAAGCTCAAATTATAGTCATATGCATATGAACATATTTACCATCTATATTTCTATTTTTAATAATTTAATGGACAAAAACCAGCATGGAAAGCTATAGTAGTAACTTTTAAAAATGTTTAGATTTGCGATATAAAAGACAAAAATTGTATTTGAATTTATTGCAAACTTACCAGTCAGTGCTGCATCTATATATTTACATAGAAAATGAGATTAATGATTTCTGGATCCTGTTCTTTTCTAAACTCTTATTTTACTGTAAAATAATTGTAAACTGACATTTTCAAATTTGCACTAATCTATAATGAACTTCAGTTAAACTTGTATTTTCCAAGGTACAAAGCATGTGAAAGCAGACAATTTATTCTGAAAAGTACTGATATTCTATAACTTTCACTTTACAGATACAACAAATATTAATGTTAACACAATATTTTATGTTTTTCAAGAGCTTTGTCTTCACAGAAATAGTACGTTATATTTGCTGCAGAAGATTTGATGTATTCTATATAATGTAGACTCATGTACATTTAGTACTCTGACCATACTTGTAACTTGTTAGAACAAAACTTGTGAAAACGCTAATATAATCAATACAGAATAAATATAAAGAAATGTTTTAATGCTAGATCATCACATTTTCTAGTTAATCTGTCAAAAGCTAACCAAATAGTGCATACATAAAGAGCCATCGAATCCTGTTACACTCTATGAGTTAATTTTTCTAGACACCATAGTTCTTCAATTTAGAGAGATACGAACCTATTTAAAATAGAAAAACACTGAGGAGTGATAATCACTTAATTCAAGCATCCTTTTAAACTGGAAGGAGAAACTGTCACATGCTGAAGCAGCAGACTGGTACCCAGCTTGATAGATCTGAAATATGTGCCTAGCATACACACTTACACTCTAATTCCCTATGTGTTGCCTTAATAACTAGAAATGAAAATCAGAAATTGCTAGTCTAAGAAATATTTTTACAATCTAAGCAAAATATAACAATTCAGCATTAATTCATAGTCAGCAGTACTGGGAGTTACAAATCATCCCAATCAGTTTCTATTAAGGATCTTTAATAATATAATCAAGAGACAAAAGGTCTCCCTTCTGGCTCTTCTCAGACGTGGTGTCTCATCCTTCCAGTCACTCGTAATCTGTGGTGAATGTTAATGTTACACTAGGTATTGATATTAATATACATACCAGTATTGTAATACTGGTATAGAAATAGATAATAATAATTACTCTGATTTTAATGGAACAGTATTCTTAGTGATGTTTTTAGATATATATGTGTATTTGAAACCAGAATGTGCATACACAGGTTATAAAATCCTGCTCTTGCTTTTATTTGTCCAGAGCTTAGCTGGCCAAAGAAATCCTCTTTGGTTAGGAGGCTAAACTCCTCTGACATTTGTGCCTTTCAAATGCTACTCCTCACATTCCCTCTTTTGGGAATAGGTACAGAAAAGCAGACGTCCCCCCCAGCTCCTCCAAATCTTCTCTGCCAAATTGCTGGGATCCCGCACAGTTCCTTGGAGGAACCACACTGTTCTCTAGCACCATCTCCTGGGTATCAGCTATAGAGTAGCAAAGCAGCTTCCAAAATTTACCACACCAATAAGTCACAAAAGAGCTGAAAACCCCAGCGCCTCAAAAACACAGCACCTCTTTTTCCGGGCACTGGGAGTAGGTTCCAGCTCATGCTGGGACCATCCTCCAGGCTCAGGTCTGGAATGGTAGAGCTGGGCAGCCAGGAAACTCTAGGAAAGGGACTGCTCTCCTCCATCTGGCATTTGCAGAGCCCGCTCTCCTTAGAGGCGCACAGAAAAAGGGCATAAAACAGTTGCAAATAAACAGAATTTCATCTCTGAAAGAAAAAATCAGAAAGGTAATAAGGGCTGCCCAGAGAGACTATAGCTATCTAACATAACACACAGTTTAAGAGGCTTTACATTTAGGAATATGTTCATACACAAAGGCAAATATAATCCCTCAGTTTTTGTTTGCAGACATTAGCACCAGAGTAGCAAGTATTTTAAGGGTCTCTTTGAGATTCTTTATATAGTGATTCTTTTTCTCTGTATGGGAAAAATGCAGAAAAGAGTACGCACACTGAGACATACCTATCCACAGTTTTAGGGTACTGAATTTTGTCTATTTAGAGCCATATGTTCTTCATGATTCATCGCAGCTTCATGAAAGTATTTGGAAAAATCTCTCAAGTAGCTTTAAACCTTTTCATTTGTAGCTTAAATAGACAGCAATTAAATAGCAGTTAATTAGACAAAGCATTTAATTATTATGATTTGCCTGCTTTCAGACTGAGCTGAAAGCAGACATGTCAAGCTATTCTTAAGAAAAAAAGTAGATACAATTAAAATGCTGTTTAGGAAAACTTTTGTACTTTGACCTTTGCTGCTTTTTTATTTCTAGAAGAAAGATCCACATTTCCTGGAATATGAAATTACTTTAGTGTTTTCTCTGGAATTGTTTTATTTTCTTCTGAAAGGTAATGCTTAATACCATGAGTAATACTAATACTCTAGTACATGAGCGGATATTAACTATAACCAAATGCTGACTACTAACATAGAGAACTGTATTTTGCAAATACAGAATATATTCAATTTGCTTCTTCTTGACAACTAAGCTTCACTCTTAGGACAAACCTTAGAACTACTTTATGGGTTTGTAAATTGAGGAGTAAAGACATCAACATTTCACCATGTTACAGTGAGGTGCTCTTGTTATAAATTTTATTTCTAAATCATGCAAACAATGTGATAAGGACCTACCATGTTAGTAAATGCCATCTGACGAAAGTATCTAGGTGCATTCCAATATCTGAAAAGTAATTATCCTTTCCACTTAACTTTAACAAAACACTTTAACAAAATACTTTAACAAAAATAAAGGTTCAATTTTTTTTTTTTTTTAATAGAGCTTACAAAACGTAATCTGGATGCAGCATAAAAATCAGACCCTGTAGTTCTGGTAGATAAAAGAACTTCAAGACTTGTTCATGATGATCAAATGGATCTTATGATCAGCAATGACTAAGGTAAAACAGGATGCTGTTCATCTGAAATGATGAATGACGTGATTTGGCTGACCCTGCTTAGTTAACCCCATCGACCTCTGAGGTTTGTATTGCACAGTCTATAGAGATCCCCTCTGACATCATCTTCTTTGCAGTTCTGTGATAATCTGGGACCTCTGTTGTGCAAGAGAAATTTATTCCTGTAAAGACTGCATCTGCAAGAAGCATCAGACTTACCACCACTTGTTAAGAAATTTTATACGGGATTTCGATTGTCTCAAACTGATTAGAAAGCTTGTCTGCCTTTACTGAAATTCTTGAATTAATAAAGAAGAGACTTCAGACAACAGAGAATTGGTAGATTTATCAGCACATTCATCACTGCCTTTTTAGAAGGCATCTGAAACTTGCTGCCACCATAGTTGCCTCTTGTCAGTGTTCTAATTATACCTATTCTGGCAAACACTGTTGAAATAAACCCAATCTCCTGCTTCAAATGGAGCTTTCAATTTCAGAGAGACCAGATGACTAACTTGCTTCAAAGTTTTTCTTTGGGTCTATCCTGAACTCTTAAACTCAATGGTATTTAGACTAATTTGTTCTGGCTAACTTGACTAACAGACCTACATAAAAAGCCTGGACTTCACAATTATTCTTAATTAAAAAGCAGAGAGACAATTTTGGAAGGCTAACAACACAGATATTTGCAGGAAGAAATGGCAGAGAGCGTGTTGGGGAGCAGCAAGTGCTGGCTTGGGTGAGCCAGGAGAGCTGGCTCAGCCTTGCATTCCTGGCAAGGACACATTCCCAGCGCGGCCTGGAGTCTGTGGATCACTGGGGCAGTCCTCAGCAAGGAGCTGGCTTGGAGGTCAAGAGCAAGGCCTGTGGGGAGCAGCAATACAAGTGTATTGTGTGTACTGTGTTCAGCAAGGAGCTGAACCTGAGCGCAGCCACATGCTGGGCCCAGGGTGAGCTGCCCTTAGCTCTTCCTCACGGTTCAACTATACCAACTTCTCCTACTGCTTCCTCTCAGTCCAGATCCTTTCACAGCACTCTCATCCTCAGTAGCACCACATCAGAGATAACCTTAAATAAAGGCAGCCTCGTACATAGTGCGTAGAAGGGACTGCAGGGGGGATTACAGGGGAAGGTGGTTACAGCCCGCTGATTCATTCAGGGCCTTCCGAGACAGACATAGGAAATTATTTGGTTTATTACACGAAATTACCCGATTGTTTTAAAGCATATAAACATAAACATGTAAGATAAAGGACTCATTTTCTTGACTGTAATCCTTTCCTTGTTGCTGTTTGTTATAATCACAGAATCACAGAATGGCTGAGGTTGGAAGGGACCTCTAGAGATGACCTAGTCCAACCCTCCTGCTTCAGCAGTGACACCCAGAGCACAGGGCACAGGGTTTGGAAGATCTCCACAGGAAGGAGACTTTGTCATGTCACACCTCAGCTGGAAACCTGAACAACATATGTTTAAGTTGGAGTCCCAGTTCAGATTACAGACCCTTAACCACTAATAGTGTCACCTGTGACGTTCTTCAGCTGATACCCACCTCCCTGAGGGCCACAGCTTGGAGAGTTACCTCTTCTGTGGTAATGATGCTTGGTGCTGGCGTTTGGGCTGCTGCTGCCTGTGCTCTGCCCAAGGGTTTTTCCAAGGTAAAGTTGTGGGGATGGTCCCCACTCTGCCTAAGGAAGAGATGTCTCTCAATCCATTTTTTTTTGCTAAACTATAAAATTCAGCTGTCTTCCAAAACATTAGGAGCAATTCTGTGCGGTTGAGTGCAGTTGTAGTATGGCAGTCACCTTGCCTGCTTTTGAAAGTTGTGCTGCATCTCACATTAGAATAATTATTGCTTTTTATGCTAGTCTTACTAAATAGGTGACTATTTTAAACCAATCACTTCTCAAAAAATAGTGTACAATGTAGACACCGAGACTCAGACATAATAGGAAAAGAAAGCCTCAATTTCTGAGCCAAAGTAACCTGGAGAAATGTGGTGATGGTGGAGAATGGGCCTTAAGAAGAATGAGTCTCTGATGTTTTCACTTGGAACATGCTGGTTTGGGATGGGGCAGACCCTATTCTGAAGTTCCCTGGATCTCCCCATAACTGCTCTGGTTCGATATGATCAGAACCACCTGCAGAATGTACATTTGAATGTGACTTTGACTTAGTAACAAGAAAATACATTGTTTAAAACAGAAAAACATAATACTAAAACTTGCTAGAAGAAGGCCAACAGAAGATGTACAGAAGAAGGCCAGAGGCAGATGTAAAACCTAAAAACAATTCTCATTTATCTTTTGAAACTGATCAGCTTTCAAAATTGATCCCTGCTTTGAATACAATTTCATGGGCTGAAAATCTCAGAAATAAAGCGCTAGTCTATGATAATATTTGATTTAGGAACTTAACTACTTGACAAAACACAATAATTTATTTTTCCAAGATATAGTCTTTTTCAAGAGCTACAAACATTTCACAAGAGG